CTGTGCAGCAGTATTCACAGGGCGTACAGTACACGCCGGCCCCACTAAACAAGTACAGCCTCGTCGGGAGCCGATACAAATTGTCGTATCCCGCAATGACACAACAGCTGTCGACACGTGCTCATCATGTGCAAAATGCGTACGTAGGTGATGAACACAGAGCCGTCTCCGTACCGTAGTACATAGGTAGGTGGATTGGGCCGGCAATCTGACGAGTTTGCGGAGAACATGCGCCCCCCGTCGTAGGTTGCTAAACTAGGTGCTGGCGATTGCAAACATGCCCCCTTTGACACTCGTACTTCTGTCCTGAACGACTCACGCTCATCCTGCAAACGTTATCTGCGCGTCGCTCGGAAACCCCACAGCACTGCGATCGCCAACCAACGGCGCCATAGCTGTGGAAGTCCGCGTTGCCGCGGCGTTGAGGATCCTGGCTGGCGGCAGTTACTGGGATGTTGCCCTCATGTTTGGCTTGTCGAGGGCGGTCACGTTCGACATCTTGTGGCAAGTGATCGATGCCATCAACGAGACGCCTGCGATTGGGGCATTTGACTTCCCCCTGACCGAGGAAGGCTGCATGCGAAACGCCAATAGATTCAAGGTGAGACCTAACGGTGGTCAGTACTGCAACTACGGTTATTCTTGGCGGCATTCTTTCGACCAACCGCGGGATATCGTGTATTTTTTCACGTCTGCTGTTTCCAGCCGTTTTAGCGTAGGGAGGACTATCTATACGCAGCCCTCGTTGATAAGAGAGAAACAAAAGTGTTGTCGCCGGCGGGTACGAGTTCGGGTTGTCATCGTGGTCAGCATTGTTCGAACCGAAAAATATCCCCCGGGTCCCGGGTGGTTCGCCAGCTTTCGGTGTCCTTTACAAATAAATGTTGTTGTCATCCTTTGTGTATGCTGGCCACGTTGGTTCGGCCCCGCAACAGCAGTGGCCCGGCAACAGCTTTTAGCGATACAAGAGTGTGGAATCAATGCAGTCACCTCCGTGGCTCTAAAATGCCCTGATACCTTTGTACCGCTGTACGTGACGCATGATTATGATTAGGATTATCAAACGGCCCAACTCTCAGTTTACATGGTATGCCCGCCGTTGCTGGCGATGGCGCCGTCGCCGATGACATCAACCCACACAACGTACAGCTGAACACTGTTACCAATTTTTGTCAACGTATCTCTCGACTTATTTTATATCCCTTCCCGACACTGCTACTTTCCCGCCCTCGTGTCTGCCGTCTACAAATGCAGGAGAAGAGCACCGATGGCATTTTCTCCTGGGTCGTCGCCGCCGTGGATGGTCTGTTCATCAAGGCCAAGGCTCCGTATGCGAAAGACACCGCCAACGTCCTCGCGTACTACTCTGGCAGCAAGTCCGCGTACGGCATCAACGTACAAGCGATGTGCACCGCCAACTACCGGTTTTGCGCGATGTCGGCGATCTCACCAGGCTCTACGAACGACTGGGTAGCATGGAATCGATCTTCCCTCGCCAAGGCCGTCGCCCGCTTGCCCACCGGATTTCACATCATTGGTGACGCCGCCTACCCCATTGGAGAAAAGCTTCTGACTCCGTACCCTGGGAGGCTGCTGCCGGCGGGGGAGGACTCGTTCAACTTCCACCTGAGCCAGCTTCGTGTCAAGATCGAGCAGAGCTTCGGCATCCTGGTTTCGACTTGGGGCATTCTGTGGAGACCTCTCCGCGTGCAGTTCGCAGGACGCGCGGATCTCATCACGGCTCTTTTCCATCTGCACAACTTTCTGCAAGACGAGAAGGTATCGCCGATCCAGCTTGCAGAGGAGGACTCGCGCAGCGGACGCAACCGGCCGGCCCTCTGTGCTACGCAGCGCACCTTGCCGGATGACTGGCAAACGGAGCAGCCGGCTCCTTCGAGGAGCGGTGAGACCCCGGCCCGAGCAGCTATCCGCACGGCCCTGGAGTTGAAGAAGCAGTGGAGGCCGGACTACAACCGCCAGAGGAATTCGTGAGCACGTATCCAGCCCGGCGGCATCGCGTCGCGCGCGCACAAGCGGGAAGTGGGGACGGGTCTACATAGGGGCGGATGGGGGCGGATGGGGGTTTTGTCGCTACTACAAGCGGGCGAGAGGCGCGGCGGGGGGCAAGGGGGGTGGGGGTGGGGCGCGCGGGGATGCGATTCTTCCCGTGGCGGGTACACTAAATGGGCGGGTTGCGGTTAGGGGCCACATGAGCGGATGGCGGCAGAAGTACGCTAGCTTCCACGGTATGACGAGACGCGTGAAAGGGAGGATAGCGGCGCGGGAGGGAGAGGCGCGGGAGGGAGGTACCTCAGTGTAGAGGGCGGAGGGCGCTGGAAGAACATGTTTTGGGTGTTGGTGGTAGGGTGTCGGCGCATCCCGGGGAGAGGTGGGGTGTGTGATGTGTGACATGTTGATTCTCGCTGACATGTTTTGTGGGTGTCGGTGTGGAGCGTTCTGACCAGATGTGTCACACTACACTTGGTTCGTAATGTGTGTGTTCGTGCCGGCAACACTTTATGGTTAACATGCATCGTGTGCGGATGAAAGCGGGGTCCTGTGGGTCTTGGAGGGTGCTTGTTTTGCCTAGGGCATTAAAAGTGTGGGCATGTTCGACTTTTTTTCCTAATTGATAGGAGGGTGTGAATCGAAAACGTTGTTGTCGTTGATACAACTTTTAATGATGTCTCTGCATCCCTGTATTAAATATTCGTCGCGTGGGTGAAACATTGCTCCAGGTTGCAGACCTGAAGGAGACCCACACACACGCTAAAAATTGGGGTCTTGTCGAATCCCATCGCGAACACATTCCTGCGCTTCAAGTGAGCATGCGCGGAGACGGGAAAAATTGCAAGGCTCCAAAATTGCGGAACCAAAGCGTGCCTCAGAGTTCCCGCCAACACCCAACGTAGTATTGGGTTGCAAGAACAAGTCTTGCAAATAGGAAAACACCAAACGATATGCATGTCCGCAGATTGGCGGCACGGCAGGTTACCCGCAAGACAGCGATGTCTTCGGCGTTCTTCAACCATATTATCCTTGATACTCCTTTGTTGCCTCAAGGCATCCTCTCAAAGTGTTGTTGCCAACCAAACAACCCACACGTCTCTGCGGAGGCGCGCGTATCCTAAAAAAAATGATGCTACGAAAAGACGAAGTCGTTGACTCAATCATGCCCAACGATAAAAATGAAACTACCCGCCCCCGCCCCCGTCACGCATGCATAAAATTCGACGATTGCACGGTAACACTTTTCCGGGAGTGCATATGGGTGTTATTCGTCGCCAAACATTTCCTTCACCGTGATCTGGGCAACACCATGCCCAGCAGCTGCACCACTTTCACCTCCACCCTGCAGTCGCAGAGGCACCGTTTTCGTTCTTGATGGCCGGTCTGCCACTGCTACGGCGTTGTTGTTCATGGTGTGGGTGTATCACGTCTGTTGTGGGAGTCCTCGGGTCTCTCGCCTGGTCGGGACCGGTGTATGTACGTCGAGCCGTGGCGCTTTCCGTAATTTTTGAAAAAATGCGCGCCTTCGCGCCTTCTGCCGATAAGAACCACTGGAAACCCTAGTTACGGTTCCGTGAAAAAAGTTACTATTCGGTGAAAAAAGTTACGTATTTTTGCGGCCTGATAAGACACACCCTTATCTACATACACATGCATGGACGCGTTTTTTTTTTGTCGTTGTTGCACGGACACTTGCTTGCATAGTCGCCGCTGTATGTATCGGACGGGGTAGGGCGTAGAAAATACCGTCACAACACAGCTAACTCCACACTCTTACGACCATGATCAGTCGGCGTCTCGTCGATACGATAGTCGCAGGTGGGCATGATGAAGGTCGCGACCCGTCCCCCGTCGTTCGATGTAAATTATAAAAGCAAAAGTTGGACTGCGTAAAGATACGGCGGTCTTCTTGGCAGTGCCAAAGGACAATGGAAAAATGCCACAGGGGACATACATGTCCCTATATGCTGTCTGGGAAATCGTAGACATACAGGTAGCTTTTTCTGACGCTATGAATTCATTGCTAATCTGACTCTGACTCTTACCTATGACAGAGATGGATTCGTTGTGTCATATTCAGAAAAACAAAATTTGCATCATGTCGCAAAAAAAAAAAAAAAAGGTGAGCGGGATAATAATAAATAGAACACCGTATCCTCTGTTGTTGCAGGCACGTTTGCTGCACAACCAACACGGGAACCCAAACCACTCTCGTCTTCCGGCGTAGAAGACTGCATGACGCAAGCACCGGTAGGAGAGTGCGGGAAAGATGCCGTGACAGCACAACTCCACTCTCCTACAACATCTATGCACAGTTGTACTGCCGTCGTCGGAGCACCATATATGTGGAAGATCTCGGGGGGGTCCTCCCGCGCAATAACGACAACGTCGCGAGAGCCCTGCGTGTGTATCTGTCGTCGATACACGAAGCAGCCGCACGACACAAGAACGGATGTTTACATCGCGTTGTAGTATGGTTAGCCGTGGCAGGAAGTATCCCATCCAGTTGGTCTGTAGTAAAAACATAGCAGCACGGTAGTCGAGCTATGCATGCAATTTTTTGCTGTGGCTGCAGGCATACTTTTGCCTCCACAACTCGAGAATCCCACTGCTGTATCTCGACCTACAAGACTCCAAACAACAAAGCAGCGCTGGCAGAAGTGCGTGGAAGATGCCGTCACAACACAACTCAGTCGACACTCGCCAACTTCTATGTACAGTCGGCGTCTGGTCCATACCGCTGTACGAAAAAAATTATCACAGCCATTTTTTTTTTTTTTTCCATACTAATAACAAGAAATGTGTCACGTCACGACGACCATCCTGTAAGTATATATATAACATGATACATGCCGATTCGTTAGCGCAGGAAATAAATACTTCGTTTTTGTGGACTGCCGGGGAAAGAAGTGAGACCATGTATGTAGTTACATCGACATAGCAGCGCAAAGTAGCACATCGACAAGAGGAAAATGCGAGGAAGATACCGTCTATCTATCCAGCCCACCTGTGCCCAGGATCTGAGGAACGAACGACACACTAACAGAGTGCCCCTCCGTCAGGACAGCGTAAATTTTTTGTCTCTCGGGCCAGCCTCTGTACAAACGACAGAAACAGCGCGCACGAGGGGTGCCCATATGGCGCAATAGGTTAGCCGTGACTAAGGAGGAGTTTGGAAATGTGTATGCCGCTCAATCAAAAAAGGCGGTGAACGACAAAAGAAAGCCGGACCAATATTTTCCGTGGTCGAGCCCGCCGACTGAAGAGTGCTGACCGACGGGCTCTTTGTTCGTCCATTTCTCGCCCCGACGTCTCAAACTATTTTACGCCTTCTTCTCGTTGGTGCGGAACGAACGCTGCTACAACGTATACGTCGCGCAGCGGCCCAGTTCTTTTCACTCACCTGTCGGTCCCATGGGTCATGACGGACAAGGCAGGGACAGAAAACTTAACCTGAGCGGCGGCATCCATGCTGTTGTACGTAAACTGAGCGGGTCTGCCGTCAGCTTTTGCTGTCTGCGCGCGTCTCTCCATTCTCGCAATAACCTCACGGTCAGCGGTGAGCTCCGGCCAAAATAACAAACACACGTACTAGACTATTATATACTTCGAAGTATATTCAATAATGCCTTCACACATACATTGCTTGTCTTGTGAAAAGTCACCATGCACAGGACGGGCGGCAGAGGGTGTATGCCACATGAGGGTGCGATCTAAATCACGCGTGGCACGTTTGGTTGCATTCTATACAGGCAACATAGTAAATGCGGTCTGTATCATATAGTCTATTATGGTTGTATGTATGTATGTGTGTATGTATGTATGTATGTATGACGATAAAAACATGATACCCGCGCAGCTCCAGCTAGCATCTGCGGCAGGATCTCATTTGACATCGTGGCGGGTTTCCGCCACAAATAACACCACAAACAAACAAACCTTGATGTGTTGGTCGTACTCCGACTGATAGGGTTGCCGTGCAGCTTTGTCTTGAACTGGGCGCTGTCCAGGTTCACCATGAAGCAATCCTTTCAGCCTAGTGCACGTCTCACACAACATGAAGTCGCCCCGAACCTTTATCTTGACTTTAGGTAGGTGAGCTGCCCAGACCTTGTTAAAGTAGGTGGGACTGACGAGAGCCTCACGCAAGCTGGAAGGATCATCCTTGTGCAACCGGCGCTGCTCGTCGCAGTAGTAGCCGTATATTTCCTTTGTTGTTGAGGGCGGGGTTAACATAATTAAGAGACACACAGGGTCCAGTTCAGAAAGCACCCTTGTAGTACGAGGCGAAGGCTAAATGTAACGGTGTATTCAAAACAAATAAATAACTTTCGTTAAACGAGGTCTTCAAGTAGCTAGCAAGGTCTTAACTACAACAATACATGTACGTAATCTCACTTTAGTTTCACCATCCAGGGCAAGGGCCCGCTTGGAAGCGCAGAATGTACGCACACATGATGTACCACTCGAAGAATACGAGTGAGTAATCGTTGGGTACCTCTTTGTTTGTCGCGTAGAGGAAAATGTTGTCGTTGTTGGGCATGTTCTGCCCGTACGTCTCCACCCAACTCTGCATGAAGGCCACGATCTTGTCGCCCTTCAATCGTGAACGTGGTGCAGAAATCGGAGTCCTGCGTGAAGAGCACGTGCGTGTATTCATTTGGAATTGATCAGGAGGGAATGTGAAAAGAGGGAATCGTCCTCGACAGACGTCGGGTAGATTGTACCTTTATGAAGGTGGTCTCCACATTACCCCCCCCCCTTTTATCGATACTTCAGTCTTTTTGGGGTAACCGGAACCCGACCGGCTGGCTGCGGGGCGATTCACTTTTCTTCACAATCCTCTGTGCGTGATTACACGGGTTCGCTACGTCCGCCACGTCATCAGCAGTTCCGAGTTCAATAGCCAGTGCGTCCTTCTTTTGCCCACCCACCGTCCACAGAAAGACATAACTTGAGGGCTGAAATTTGAACTACATATTCGACTAGTCTATGCCGTGCATATTTGTCGTGCGAGCGACCTCACCCCTCCTCATAATGAATGGTGCATGGCTTTATTTATCGTGCGCGCACCACTCAAGGACGAAACCGGAGGTTGGTTGTGGACAGACTACACATACATACATACAATGAATCTGTAGAACTAAATATACCGGCCTGAATCGCGAAGTCCTCTTCCTTCTTCATTGTGGACCAATGAGCTACAAAAGAGCTACAGCAGAGTGAGTGGTGCATATGTATGGTATCATGTGGCGGGGTGCAATGTGGACTCGCACGATTTCGGCAACAACTTAACAGAGTTTTCGTGCACGATTACGGCAATAACAACTTGTCAGAGTTTTCGGGGGGGGGGGCAACGCCCGTTGTAGTCGAGACTCGTACTCCCATCCCGCATGGGTGTGGTGGAGTGTGGGAATAATTAATGGTGAACCACACTACCAACACAAAGCAGTACAGCTACAGCCTAGTGGAGAGGCGGCAACCCGTTTGTTTACTCTCTCTGCAAATCATGTTTGAATTGTTTGGTTGTTGTTATTGTTGTTGTGTTGTTGTCGGCGGTGGTGTTGTGTGTCGCTGCCGAACTAACTGCTGTACCAATGCTGTACCGCTGCTGCTGCTGCTGCTGCTGCTGCCACTAACTCCTGAGGTTGTCTCGAAACACTCCTCCTTCCGGTGCCTACCGTAAACAACTACACTACGACGCACAGCGTCCTGAGTCTCGTCCTGAGTCCATGCAACGAACAGCACGTCGTGTATATACATGTAGGTGGATACATGATGTATACCAGCATACCAGTCTACAGCAGTGTCTGTCCTGTGGATTCAAATTTTGTCCGTTAGATTTGCACGCCAACCAAAGCTATGTATGTACGTAGACTTACCCATAATTGATAGGTTAGCAAGACAAGTATATCGTACGTTCGTTCCTTGCCTGTCCACGGTGCTTGACGCCCGCGCTCCTGGCGTGCCTTTGACGGCGCGCAGGAGGTCACTCGATACACCGAACAACCACATGAACGCATTGCTGCACACCGGTTCGCAAGCAGCGATCATTGCACCGTGGTGCAATGGTCGGAGGGGAACGTGCTCCAGGACGAAGGCCTTCCTTTCCCCCTCCATGTTGCAGTCCGCCATCCTCTTTTGCTCGGCAATAAGCAGGCCGTCATCGTACTTTCCCGTTGCAAAGCACTCTACACAGCGCATCCTTGCGCAACAGGTTCGCTTACCGTTTGTTGACAGCAGCAGGTCCTTGTACAGCTGTACAGAAGGGCGGGGATCTCGCCATTTCCGCTTTGATCGTTTGGGGGTAGAGGGGATCGCATCCTCGCTACCACAGCTGCTGCTGCTGCTGCTGCTAGCTTCATCCCGTGCTGTTGTCGTAGCAGTGCGCTTCCGGTTCGACGGTAGAGCTTTGAAGAGCCATGCTGCTCCTTCCAAGAGCATTGGATTTTGTCCCAGCCAACAACCAGCACGGCGGCAGCGAGGGGCTGAGATGACTGCCGTCGACGGACCGTTGGTGTGTGTTGTGTTCTCGGATCGTGTGCAATGGTTTTCAAATTTGAATCCTGTGAACTGTTGGTGTTGCCGGCAACATGTAGCCTAAATCATAGGGAAGCAGTAATCGGCCCGTCTGAATTTCTACCCACAGCGCTGTGCGTTGAAATTCAATCGTGGCGTCGAAGCCCGCAAAGTGTTCTTTTTTTGGTTCTGCGGGTGTTACATCCGCATTTGGATATTTTAAAAATCAACTGTCGGCGTAACAAACCCTTCTTGATTCGAGCTCTGTGTGAATCTTTTTCACCCCTTTTCGAGACGAAGATGATTCTATTAAATTAAACTTGAGCGTTTCCTGCTCACGAAACGTTTTTAAAATGTTAACGTCCTCCGGATGATGTATTTTAATTCAAAGCCACAGCGCTGTGCGGTGAAATCCAATCGTGCTTATTACGAGGAAGCTTTGATTTGGATGCCTCCGACAACCAACATGTAGACTGCGATATATTTCAGCTTGGGAATTCAACTGCTGTCTACACAAGCCCTTCTAGAGTTCGAGGACAGGTGTCGGGACACCACCTCATACGTCACCGTATCTGTGTGCCGCTCCCTCCCGCGAAACCCTACCTATGTCCACCATTGCCCCGAGCAGCCGTCTCGCTAGCACAGCCTGTTGTCCTTGATCAGCTAGAACGGCGTACACCACGATGAGTCACGCCGGCCGTTCACGCGGGACTCGCGCTGCTTCGGCAGCAGCGTCTGCTGCTGCTGCTGCTGAGACCGCGGCTGCGTCCGCTGCCTCCGATGCTTCCGCTGCCACCGCGGCTGCGTCCGCTGCCTCCGATGCTTCCGCTGCCACCGCGGCTGCGTCCGCTGAGGCTGGCGGACCATCGGCGCCACCACCAGCATCGGCACCGGCATCGGCACCGGCATCGGCATCACCAGCGCCAGCCTCAGCACCAGTACGAGCATCTTCGACGAGGTCAGCAGCAGTAGCGGCAGGGGAGGAGAACGACGAGCATCATACCAGCAGGAAACAGGAGGAAGCGGTCGGCGTGCATCTTCTTCTGTCCATCTTCACGATGGAGCGGGTGCGGGAGGTATCCTGAAGGAGCGTAGCCTCGGGATGGACTACATCGCACTGGAAAGGCTGATCAACACGAGCCACGCTCGGCAGATTAGCCAAAAGAGCGTGAAGCTCCTTCAACAATCGATCGAGTCCCAGGACTTCATGGAGAACCAGCCGCTTTCTGTGATACTCAAAGGGGTTCATCAAGCGCCTTTCACACAAGAGGATGCCGACAAAGCCGGGCCCGCCAGCGTCTTGGACGGGAACCATCGTTTAGTAGCCCTCAAGGCCGTCAAGCCTGGTGATTTTCTGGTCCCGTGCCAATGCTACTCGGATATCAAGGACGCAAACGTGAAGAGGATAGTGGCAGAGTGGGAGTTCATGGCTGTTGCTAGACTAAACATGATGTTTGTAGTGTTGGCGCAGTAGTATGCATACATACCACGGTATCTTACGAGTCCTACGGCTTTCTTGCTGCTGCTGAATCGTTCGTATTGACGTATCCGAAAACAACTAGGGGGTCGATGTTTGACGATGTCCACACACACATATACTTGGAACAATATAGGGTATCCACTATGGATTGACGCGGAATTTTGACCTTTGAGGATTGACGCCAACATCAAGTAACGGTTGAGGGTTTTGACGGGAAACAATTCGCACCGCGTGTGCCCGTTGGCACGTGGGAGGAAAAAAAAAATGGTGGATGGAGTAGAGTTGACGCGTTAACGCCAGTCATGTTCACGACCCCGGGTTGGTTCGGGCTGCCACCCAGGGTCGACATGCTGAAGCAAAGACTCACACTCCCAGGCTCCCAGGAGACTAGGTGTACCCCTCCGCCGCATCCCGCCGACCTTCTCTCTTTCGCCGCGGCGACTTCCCAGGCGTCAAACTGCCGTTCGTTGCTGATGAGTGAGGCAGCTGCTCGCTGTACTGCTGTGTACTGCTGTGTACTGCTGTGTACCGATGTCACTGCGGCAGCAGAGCACCGAACCCCGTGAGGGGGCGGGCGAAATGCACCTACTGACTGGCCAAGTCCGTGTACCCTCCCGTAATCCTCTATATGTGCTCCCTCCGAGGGCGGGACTCCCCCGAGTACTGCCTATGCCGCTTTTTGCTGCTGAAAGCCCGTGCGAAATCAATCGCGATGGCTCATCTACCGAACGCGCGCGCCGAACACGCGAGTCCGGCCACTGGGCCGCCGTGAGAACTGCCGAGACGTGTATGTGCAGGACCGCTAGGAGCAATCAGTAGGCATGGCCAATGTGTTCGCTGCTGACCGCGCTCCTTTCGTGATTTGGTGATGGTAACAGAGCACAGAGCAAGAGTGTGTGAGCCACAGTCTGGCGATATTTGAAGTGTCAATCTTTTCGCGTCGGTTTAAGTTTTGACGCTTTTTCACAAAAATTTCGCCGTCAGAGTTTGCCTCCAAAAACGCGGCGTAACCTCGTCACGTCAAAACTTCCTGAAATGTCAATATTTCACGTCATTTCAACAACACGTGGATTCCCTCTAATACACCATTATCTCACTCAACATTCAAGTGCTCTGACCTTTTTTCCTGTTTGTTCTTTACTACTCCTCAGCGTGCAATGATGCCACCTCGACGTTCGCCGAACGCACTATCTACGATCGGCTGTACTTCTTCAGCTCCCTCTACAAGGGAGCACAGGCTTCCCTGGAAACGTCGCGGTCCCGTAGTAGGCAAGTGAACCCCAAGGACATCAAGGAATGCTACGCGAAGGTAAGCACGTGTTTGGTCAGAAGATGATCATGAAAAGTCAACAACAACCCTATATCGAACGGATGTTCTTCACCGATCGACGTAGCAGTGGTATCGTTTTGTTGTGTGGAATACTCTGTGTACTTGCCGTAGCTCATGCGGTAGTAGTACATACTAATTGCACAATACCCCCGCTCAATGGTTTGTGTATCAGCAGCAGCATCAGTAACTATCTGGTTGTCGCTTTCGCTTCTTCAGGCAAAGCAGGCGGTCCCCAGCGACTCCACGCTTCGCAGCTGGCTGAAGGCCGTGAGGGGCATCAAAGAAGAAGCACTCACCGCCCTAAAGGACCTGGTCGAGTCCGAAGATAAGTCCATCGACCTCAACCTCGTCACCCTAGCTTACATCAGCAAGGATGACTTCATGGCGCTTTCAGCTGAGGAGCAGGGCTTCAATCTGCAGATCCTGGCCAGGTAATGTTGGGCTAGATAGACGTACGCGACTGTTACAGCAGCAACGAAGGTCAGCTTACCGTTGGCAGTACCTGTCTCCGACGGACCGTTATTTCTTCGTTCCCGCGGAATCCACTCTCTCGACCATGATCTATGGACCATGATCCCAACTTCACGTTCTTCCCCCATCATCGAACCCAAATCCACGATGTACTTGTAACGTGTCAGGTGGAAGAAGTTCCAGCAAGGAAGAGCATTCAAGGCGGACGTCGACACCCCCCCGATCATTGCGCAGGCCAAGGACGTGGCACAATGGTACTTCGCCCTTTGTGGCATCGTGCCTTACCAGGATTGGTCGCAGGAGCTTAAAAGGTAGGTACCCACGTTTTTTTTCTTAGGCAGCGCAAGGAACGTCTCAGCCCTCTGACAAACTCCTGTCCAGGAACGGGTACCTCGCATGTCTGATCGATGCAGTTGACACCTAGGTACCCATGATTGTGCCCCTCGCAATTCTTGCCATTCGTCCCGTCGTCGCCCCCTCGTTAAATCTATCCAACAGCGAGTTCGAAAATATGGCCTACGCGAAGCCTGCTTTGTAGTCGTTCCAGAAAGCCTTCCTCGACGGTCTCGAGGATGAGGTTTTGAAGCTCAGCAAAGGTCTCCCACAGCACGGCAGTAATAGCGTCCCCAAGCTTGAGGAATGGATCGTCCAGACCCTTCGCTCGCAGCAGCCCAGCAGGATCAAAAAGGTCGTTTCCCTACAGTATCGGTCAATAACTCTCGTTGGCCACCCCACTCCCCCATAGTCCTTGAAGTAATGTGCCGTGATGTGCTAGTGAGCGCAAGCTTAAGGCCCAATAAGCATCGCGGGCATAACATTGTCCATGCAGATACATTAGTCTGACTGATCGTCTGGCCCTATCAACACACGATCTCTGCCACTTCTGTAACGGCTGCGTCCCGCTCAAGTCGTGCCCAGATGGTCGCGATGACACTTGTGTTCAATGGAATGTTGAGATGTATAACTACCTTGCGCTGCTACGCGATTTTTTCTGTGCTGTTTGCCATTTTTTGTTCTCGTATCTTGAGTGAAGATTCTGGAGTCCGACGCCTCTCTACGGCCATCGTACGAGGATTTTATGGAGAGGCTCAAGGAGGCGAAGAATGCGGTTACGAGGAAGAAGCTGCAGCTGGCGAAACCCATGAAACGCCCTTCCGAGCGCAAGAGGAAAGGGAAGTCGTGGGGGGGAGCAGGGAGAGGGAGTAGAGGGGCGAAAGGACGGAGACGAACTGCAAGGAAGAGCAAAACCCAAGGGGGGGGGGAGGAGGAGGAGGAGGTGGTGGTGGTGGTGGTGGAGGAGGAGGAGGAGAAGGAGGACGAGGACGATGAGAACAACGACGACGGGAAGCGGAAGGGGAAAGGGAGGAGGAAGGACAACAACGAGTCGCCGCTCATCCGATGCGGCACGTGTAAACCGGAGCCGGACAACAGGTAAGGTATACATTGGATTATGGGATCCGCGATTCAGATGGTATTCTTGATGCTCGTTTCGGTATCCGCGATTCAGATAGTTTTTCTTGCTGCTCGTTTCGGTGGAGCTCGTTTTGTCGGTGCGCCCAACAGTAACTGCAACCACATTCTTCCTCCCACAACGCCGACTCGATCAGGTGGTCCTGCCATAAGTGCAACATGCACCACAGAATGTTTTGCCCGTTGGTGGAAAATGCTTACTCAGACGAGGGCGTGAGACTGCCGAAAATGCAGTGCAAGACTTGTCCCGAGAAGGACGGGAAGGGTGGAAGTGGCGGGGAAAAGAAGAAAAGGCGGAAGATGCACGATGTGTTCGACAAGGTCGCCGCATTCCCCGAGGAAGACCAGTCCGACGCCGACATGAAAAGCTTTCTGAAGTGAGCATGTGATGCTGTACTGCCATTTTATGACACACTACATATCGGTCGTATTGCTTGTATTTTCTTGTGTCCAGTGAAACGATTAGGTTGTGTGCTAGGACATTACGGGGCCGCGCTGTTGGCCCTACGTTGCTTTAAACACTTTCGGTCGTTGTACGATCCTGGCTGATTGTATTTTGCTACTTGTCCCCTGATGATAATCACGGACCAAAACACTCACGTCCACGAGAGGGTGTACTACAGCCACAGCGTCGGCGTCGACGACCTGTTGACGCACGTGGGGACGAAGGAGCCTGCGAAGCTGTTGTTTCTCAACCCCGGTGCCGACAAGACCCTCTTACCCGACAACGCGACCACTCTCGCCCGCATCCGCGACCTTACCCGTGCGCTGGTCGCGTCCGGTAGCCTTCACGCGTCCGGTACTGTCGTCTGTGATCTTCCCACGCCGGTCTACGAACACGCGCACCGCTGGGCTGGTGAGTTTTCTTTCTGTGTTTGGAGAGTCTTCACGAATGGATAGTTCCAGCAGTTAGGCAGTATACTCACAACAGACGTATGTATTTGTCAACGTCATCGTGAGGGCGTGGTGCTGTGCAGGGGCGCTTGGGCGTGCCACATTAAGCTAGCGTGACCTAATTTGATTGGTTATGGTTTTATCTGCAGTGATTTTCGGCCGTGTATCGCTGCCATTTTGGATTTTGGAGTGAGCGACTTATTGAATGGATGTCTGTTGCCTGTTGCACAGGTGCTTTCAAGCAAGCGGGAACGGCACTGGAGGTTGAGGACCATCCTATGCTGGTAGAGTTCGAGTCCCGGGGAGGCGGGCGCCCAGGACACAAATCGGACCGTCGTCACCTTACCGGAAGGGTTCACCAGTTTCTCGTGGCTCACCAAGCCACGACGGGCGATAGCATCCCTAGCGTCAGGTTCACGTGCAACCAAACCGTGACCGCCGATGACGTCCACGGTGCTGAATCTTCGTCGGGTCCCTGTCTTAATCTCATGAAGGCGGTGCCGTTCGAGAATGCACTATCACCGTTCCCCCCTCGCCTCCTGACCATGTGTATCAACAGGTTCGTGGGCGTGATGCTGTCACTTGACTCTTGGCTTTTTGTGAATCAATGTGAGCTGTGGGTCTGTCAAAGTATGGAACTGAGGGTATTAGTGCAGAACACTTTTCCCGTTTTCCTCGAAATAGCCGATGTTTATGCACGTCATACCTTGCCACCTTGTACTTGACGTAAACGTTGCTGGTATGGTATCATTAAATGTGTGTGCGTGATCCCCAGCCGATTTTCGTTCTGGTTGTTTCGAACCTTTCCGCCAAAAGCTCCCCCTGTGCTCTCAGCGCTTGCTTGGGCATGACGAATTACCAATCACAATCGTCGTGTCGGTCATGTACAAAACAGGTTCACTAACCTGCAAGACACAGTCGTGTCTACCTGCGGCGACCGAGACAAGACGATCGAGACTGCGCTCTCCCTCGGTAGGAAGGTGGAGGTGTTTCCAGTCGACGATAGAAACGTAGACGAGATGCGAGAACGCGTGAAGGACGCCTTCGACATCGCGTGGGCAGACGGCGTGTTCAAGGTGAGGGATTTGGTACAGAACGAGGCCGCGGCCCAAGCTCAATGTTTTCGCCCTTAAGTGCACCTAAGTCAACCTTGAATCTGGAGTGGGTTTCTGGGCTAGTCTTCCTGCTAGTGTTCAATGGACCTTTCATGGGCGTGTCGGGCTCGTGTGGATTCAACTTGGCCACGCCGCGGCAACTCATGTTGCCCTCGTCAATACTGACCCCTTCATGCCAAGGACAACGGACAGTAGTGTTAGTTCGAATACAACCACACCGTTTTTCAGTTACTGCTGCGTCCCAGAGTCCGACGTCGTATGTACCTTCTTATAGCTTCCTGCGATCGAGGATGCGGCTGGTTGTTGATACAACTCTTTCTATTGACCCTAACCAATTTATTTCCTGACTTTGTACTCCTACCTATGCTGACCCAAATCATGTGCGATAACCTTTCTTTGTGCAGCGGGAGCCGGACCCCGCCGGTGGTTTGAGAACGATAAGTCCGGGGAATCTGCCGGATGCTGTTCCTCGTTCTTCCGCGCCAGCTAGCGTCCCTACCGTCGTCCAAGACATGATGGCAGAAGCGGGCGAGACTGGTGACGAGCCATCTGACAAGGTCTTGACTTTGGTTGCTTCCAAGCTTTCTTCCACTGTCGGCTAGGCTTTGGTGCAGGTGAACGCTGTCCTTGTCAGAGCGTGGGGTGATATTTTCGACGGTGGTACTAGTGTCCAATCCCAGAAGGTTATTTAGTATCCGCTGCTCCGTTTGCGAGCGCGGGGTAATCTAGTAGTCAACCACAGCAATGTGGTGATTCCAGGGGAAAAACGTACATCCTCTTCTTGCTTGGGCCGTTTTGATCATGGAGTCACGGATTGATGCATTTGTGCGTTGGTGTTATTCCTCCCATGTTGACTCTAGGGAGGTAGATGTTAAGTGTTGCGTCGTTTCATGCTCTCCTAGGCAGCTTTCGTCCTTCCTATACATTTTTTTCGTTACGCCAAACTACCCCAAAGACCTACACGAATCTGTCTGACAAACGTCCGTATCATTGTTAGCGGCGGCGCTTCTTTCTTCCTTTCTTTGTTTATTCTGTCTAACACTTTGTATTTTGAACAACGAAAACGTTTAGGATGGATACGACAGCAGCTACGCCCTTTACACAATTCCGAAGATGAAGTACGCAATGAACGGCCCGGAGATTCCTATCTGGGGGGACATGGAGATCCACCTCTCACCAGCGGAAGCGAGGGAGTCACTCCGCGCCGACCGGGTAGACGGGGCTGTTCGGCTTATCCGCGTCGCCGACAGCGCACAGCTAAAACAAATGCTCGTTCCAGGCAAGGAGTTCGTCGCGCCAGGGGCCACGCTTTACATGCGCGTCGCGAAAACATGCCCCGCCTATTACGCGCGATGGGAATCTAGCGATCCCTTCACCCACCACGAGATTTTGTCCGAAGTTCCACGAGACAAGAAGAAGTCTGACACTCATGCCCTGTGGTTTGATGCTGAGGATAACCCCAAGACTCCCATCAAGCTCAGAATCTACAAAGGGGTGACTAACACTTCTGAAGCCCAGCCGGTCCTCGTCAGGCCCGGAGGCAGTGCCGTCTACCTCCACGACGGTGAAAACAGCACCAGCGACATCGACGGCGACGACGGTGGTCCTCTGGACAAGGACGATTATTATGAAGCGATGACTCCGGTGGCAACGCTAAACGACTTTCTGCCATTGACAATGATGATGCCAGTGGTGGAGAGGAGGAACCTGTATTCAGCGATTAGAACAAGTTCGAGTGGCAACACCACGCGCGGGGGTGCCAGTGGTGGGACATAGACGATACTGTAGAGGTGCAGCTGGAAGCACGGAGCGAGTAGAACATTAACATGGGGTTGAGACGACTGTAGGATTCCACCATCGGTGTACGGTCTAACATAGGGGCCAGACTTGCGTCGGGGAGCAGGACGTGGAGCCACCGTCGTTGATGATAATGTAAAATATCATGTGGGTAAATTGTAGGTACGGTGAATTATTCTGGGTGCGTGTACATCACGTTGGAAGTAGTGGGCGTGAAGACTCAACAAAAACAGACGGACTGGCCAGTATGGACTGGGCGTTTGCCGTCGACGCGTTGCTTCTGAAAGCTTCGTCAGCAACAGTTCGAGGAGGTATGTATGCTCGTAGCTGGATAAACTGACTGCCGTTCTTTGCCCTGTGGAAGTATTGGTTAACAGCGAGCGGTGTACGTAGGGTGTAGCGATAGAACTCGACATGTATAATTTCTTTCCTCGATGTCGGCTGATTCTAAGGAAGGTAACACTGCATATCGGTCGTGTGATGGTAGGCCTCCTCCCGTTTTTCGTGCGGGAGTTTAACACTGACAATTTTCTTCCGTGCATGACTGACAAGAGGCAGCAAAACTGGGTGGTCAGGGATGGCAGTAAGTATTGTACATTGATTGGTATTTTTGTGTAGTGTTGTGTATCTTCCCATGTATTTATTGTTGTAGGAGCCAGTGTACACCAACCGGGTCGCTCCCGAGGAGATACGTAGACACTGGACTTTTTTTTTTTCTCGAACGGTCACCCGGCGGTTTGCCTGGATGTTGCCTGGTTGCTAACTGTAGTTTTAAGTGAAGCAGGAGAGAAAGAAGGATTCAATCAGCAGATAATTTGCTCTGTTTCGTCCAATGCCTTTTTTCCTTGCGTTTTCGAAAGCGCAGCAACCAGCAGTCGATCTGGGATTTTCAAGCACTGTTTTCGATTTCATGGGTACGTCAACACCCAATTACAACTTCCAGCTCGGCAAGGAGTCCTCTCGCACCACCACGCCGTAAAGGTATGCAAAAAAACGAAGTAGATCAAATTAACTGTCCTCCATGCTGGCGTATCAATTCACGAGGTTTCGAGCAATCACCCGCCGCGAAGAAGCTGTCAGTACCTCGAACTTCCAGCTTACACACCGCTAAACCTAGCAGCCGACATACGTCGACGAATAAGCCATGTCAGCACGTACACCGACTCTATTGAAGGCAGTTTGGCAACGAACGTTTGCCCTCTTACTTGCTGTAAAAAAAGAAGGAAGCATAGACTATACACACGTTAGACGAAAGGAAGCAGCACCTACTTTCCGGCTTTCAGTTTTGGTGTTTCCCTCTTCCCAGATATACTAGCAGCCTGAAACGGCGGTTGAGTTGTAAGTCATCCTCCCCATTAACAAGTGTATACATGCTTCAAAGGAGAAGGTCAGCATACGCACCTAATATAAACAATAATACGCAGCAATGACGGCCCCCATTCTTATGCATGCATCTACGTCCTCCCAAGCAGCAGCCTGAAACGACGGTTGGGTCATCCTCCCCACCAACTGTATTCCTCAAAAAAAAGGGGCAGCATTCCCCCCCCAAGAAAAAATGCAGCGACGACGGCCTCCGTCTTTATGCATATCCACCATCCCAACAGGAGCCTGAAACGGCGGTTGAGAAGTAAGTAATCCTCCCCAACAACACCTTTCTACATGCCTAAAAATAAGGGCACCACACACACCTACATAATAAACGCGGCCACGACGGCCTTCGTCTTTATGTACATCCATCCTCCCAAGGAGCAGTCTGGAACCGACGCTTTAGCCATCCTCCCAAACGACAGTAAATAGCTTCGAGCGAACGGCTCGTCCGAGAGGCAGTCACGGCACCCCAAGTTTCGCTTCTCCAAAGAGTCCGCCCGGTCTGTGCGTGGTTGTACCTGTCAAAAAAAAAAAATGCCGCGCGTGTGGAAGCAACACCCTTCAGTTCTTGGAGCGTAAATGCTATCCCGGGCCGGCCCGAAACCAAGACGTTTTGAACCGCCCGTTTCGCGCCGAAACTGTGTGTGTCGAAGGCACCCGGCCCACTACCGTAACGCTGAAGCTTCATCTCGTCGTCGACGGGATAGGCACGCTTGAGCCTTCATGTTTGTGGTGTAAGACAACGAAATGCGAGGTCCTACAGCAGTAGATGGCGAGTACTGAATAATGGGGATTTTTATCGAGCTCGATAGGCAGTAGTAGCGGGGCCGTGCGCCTGTCCGCAGTGCGGGCTTAGCGTTCTCACATTTCATCAGTTAGTTGGTTCTCTGGGAACATTTTTTTTTTTCTGTGGCACACACGATCCCGCGACAACTTCTCTCAAGATGCCCTGGGGAAAAGGGGTTTCGCGCAAGCATGATGTCGTACGTTTTGAACACCCCGCTCGGTCGGTTAGATGCACGGTCGGATTGCAGGGAACCTCTTGCAAGCCGCCGACAAAACATGCGAACAGCCGTCATTATGCACGACCGCCTTCAAAACCAAAGCAATAAGCTTCTTCTCGTAGCTACATACAAGTAGGACTGGCTAGAGTCCACAACCAACCCTGCTGATCTTTCTTGGCCGTTCACCTTGCTTGCGCGTGTTGGAACGACCTCACGGCCAGCGAACACTCTGCTTCGCCATTGTCATCCACCAAGCCAACCCGCCGAATGCCCTCGCTTGAAGTTTCGCCACCGAGATACCATCGCGCGAGCCAGTCTCATCTGCCGTCGAGACAACAAACAAACGCCGTGGCAGATAACATATTTTCCTTTAGAATAGGCGCAAAAAACTGCTGCCGCTGTGCTACTACTGCTGGGTGCCTACACCGTACGTAACTGATGAACGTGCGTACCAGACCCAACCCGGGGCTGTTACGGGTTACGGAAGCACGTACGTCTAGTGTACACTCGAACACACTACTTTTTATATTACTACTGCTGCATTGGTATCTGAAAACACCAGGCCCTACACGGCTGTGGTGGCTACATGCAGCTGCATGTAGATTATGGAGTGCTGTCTTGCTTGCCGAGAAAGAGGCAGGTATTTGTGTGCACAACAACATGCACCGTTGGTGACACAAGATACCACACACACCCTGCAAAGATTTTCAGCAAGAAAGCTCGATTTCTCAAGACACAGAAGAAGGTGTGGCGGTGCCGCAACCGGCGGCGTTCTAGCCGTCCTGTCGAGAGCTTTCCACCATTTAATTTCGACATCGTCTTCTCCGTCCCGTGGCGTTGTCGACATTTGACAATCGGTCGGTGGGGTGGGTGGTATCATGTGTCATTTGCGTAGAGGTGGAACACCTAGCTATTTTGTAGCTTGTGTAGTCGCAGTACAGAGTCGTCGGTGTGCGCGAGTTTATCGATAGCCTCATGGGGATGACGTTACTTCAACGCTGGAATGAGTTCAGGTAGCGGCAGCGCTGGCTTCCTGCCGTTAGAAGTGCTACTCATGACCCGTAGGCTACTGCTCCTTTCCTGAAGATGTATGCACATATGTGCGCTGTGGAAGCAGGTGAGGGAGGTAGGTGGGTCTTCGACTCAACATCAACAATTTTTGCTCCCATTGTTGCGGCCACACAACTACGCCGAGAACAGAGATAGCAAGGGAAACAGTCCAAGCAGACCAGGCCAAAGACATACACGGAGTTTGGCTGCCCTCTGTCTTCTTGCTTGCGCTGTTGTTGTACTTCTTTGTGGTTGTTGGAGGGGCGCCACGTCATCTTGGCAACAAAAAAACACACACACACACAAACGGACAGGACTCGGCAGCAGCTATCTATGTAGCTGCCAGGGTGGGTTGCTGCGGCACCGAGAATACCCTAGGCATGTGAGACCCACTGCTGTACAAGGGCAGCAGGGGTATCATAGGTCCATGGGGCCTCACAACGCTCGTCTACCTCTCTCTGTCGCGCTCTCGTGGGACGTACGCGCAGGTTGTTGCTGTGGTGGGAGTTCGTTGCCGGGGACCACGTTTGCCATCAAGAAGGAAGGGGAAAAACAGGAGAGAGGGGACGCAGCAGCTGCAACTAGACCTGTCTGTGGCACCGCGCATAACGTATGCGTGTGACACGAAGCTGTAAAAGTGTGGCAGGGACACTATAAGCCTGTGCACACGTAGCCACTTTGCTCCGCCTTTTGCGTACCCTGCGGGACCAACACCCTGTACACACCCTGTCCAGACCCTGTCGAGACCCTGCCGGGGACTGTTGTTCTACAAGGTCGCCGTACCGGAGACCTTGTGGAGAGACCACCCTGGTCAGGGGTGCATTGCCTATACCCTGTGCCACCTGGCATGTATTTAGAGTGCCAAAAGAGGCACCACCATTGAAGAGTCCTCACCCGACGATATGTGTTCGTATTATACTAAATATGGTATCAGAATATGCATACTCCGGAGTACGATGTGTTTTGATTTCCAGAGGTAGTCTACGAGTACGGAAAAAAAAGAAAAATATCCGCAGCACGTACCGGAGGTGACACCAGATACCACGTCCCCTGAACCGCTTTTCAGAGCTCGATTTTTCTCCGCAAAACAGAATTAGTGGCAGCGCCGAAACCGGCGGTGTTGAAGAAGCCGTCTCGTCAAGAGCTTTCCGAAAGGTGTCGTTCCATTTATGCAATATATCCACCAAAAAAAAAGGAAAACATTTTGAACAGACACCAACACGGACACCAATGAAATTCCCCAACAAGAGGTATAGTAGTTCAGATGTCACACGGTTACCGCGGTTTAATCTGCTAAATACAAAGTGTGCAGCACGCAAGGATACGCAAAAAACTTCGATGAACGACACTTGGCGCAAACTAAAACAACGGTCCGTACAACGCGCGAATATACAACATACAACCCAAACATGTGGTGCTACTTTGTCGATGATGAGCATGAGGCCGAGGGCACTATTTACCCTTTCCCTCGGGGTTTGTCTCCCTCGGGGTTTGTCTCCGCCACGTCGGGTCCATCAGAACCGTCGATCCTGTGACGTCAATGCATACAGGACGAAA